AAAATCATGTTAATCACCTAGGTTTTGAACTTCAATTATCGTTAAAGTAGCTCATGAAATTTTGAAAAACACTCGAAATTAATTTTCCCAATTTTTCAACTAGGTCCTTTGTGCTCATTGAGCTCTTCGGAGCACAAAAATGTCGGAGAGCGAAAAAAGATCCCTAATTTTAAAATTAAATTTTTGAGGTTTCAAAATGTAGACAGGAATTAATTTGGTGGCCTTATTTTTGGTTTTTTTTTTCCTAAATTTTTGAAGTCTAGATGTTTGGACTTTCGAAAATTCACTTTTTGAAACTTTTTTGTAAATTTATAGATTTTGAATTTAATTCTTGCTAGATGCGCTAAAGTTATAGGAAATTCAAAAATACGGAGGTTCCCAGAAAAAATTCAACATTTTGGATTTCAGGAAACTTCAGAAAATCCAAAAATTCACGATTTCATAATTTCAGGATTTTCAGAAAATTTGAAATTTAGAATCCCAGGGTTTCAGATATTTCGAAGAATTCAAAATTCAGAATGCCGGAATACAGGATTTCTTAAATTCAGATATCCGGAATACAGGATCATAGAAAATTCGAAATTGAGAATTTCAGTATTTTCGCAAATTTCAGAAATTCAGAATATCCAAAATTCAAAATTCAAATTTTCAGATTTTTCTAGGAACTACAGGATTTCCACAAGTTTCAGAAATTTTAAATTCAGAGTTCCAGAAAATTCAAAATTCAGAATTAAGAAAAGTCGCAAAGTTCAGATTTTCCTTAAAATTTAGAATTTTTACAGATTTCAGAACATTTCCAAAATTTATAGCTTCAGAATTTTCGAAAATTTTAGAAAATTCAGAAAACTTAAGAATTTCAAATATTTGAATTTCCAGGTGTCAGCATCTCGAGGAACTACAGAAAAATCCCAAAATTCCGGAACAATTTTTTTGCAATATTCCCATTTTTTTTCAAATTTCCCGCCTACACACATTGCCCCTGTCCCCTGGCTGCCGAGTCCTATCCTGTCTAAACTAAGCTAATTTTCGATGCTCCATTTTCGACATTTTATTCGCCTTCTTCTTTTTTTTTCGCTTTTTTGCAATTTCCCCACTTTTTTCCGGAATCAATTTTTTCAACCAAAAAAAATTCACCTCAAAATTTTTCAGAACCATCCAAACATGAACGCGGCAGACGATGAGAACATCACTGCCACGTCATCATTTCTTCTATTACATGATCTTCTTCTAAACGTCTCAACGACGTCTTCTTCGTCTTCGGAATCGTCAGAATCCTCACTTTGGACAACAACGAACAACAAGTGAGTTGTTAAACAAATTAGAAGGGAGAAAAGAGAGTTTATTGGTTTAGAAAGGAGTGTTTTGTCTGGCTGGAAGGATGATTTTTGAGGTTTTCGGGTTTCTAGGAACATCTTCTTTTGTGTGGAGAGCAGAATACAGAGTTCTAGAGTCCTGAAATTAGAAGAAAGTACTCAAAAATGTTCTGAGAAGATTTCGGCTGTAAATATATTCAACACTCCAGTTATCTCAATCTTTTGAATTTGAAAATAATCACTTTTAAGAATCAGCAGGCTATTTTTTAAGTCAATCAGATCTCAAAATTACATACTTTCTATTCAATTACTTAAAAAATTTAAAAAATAGCTGAAAAATCCTAAATTCTGGTCCAAGAACCAACTTTATAGCTTCTCTAAAACATAAGTTACAGCTAGATTAAGTTTCTATAAGGGAGAGAGAGAGAGAGAGACGCAGACGACGAGACACTCTAACTGTCAGGCTGTATCTCGGCTCCCAGTAGGTCTAGAACCATGGAACTTTTTTCAAAGTGTGTGAAATTTTATAAGGAATCTAAAAACTATTGTTTCAACATTTTTGAAAAATTGAAAAAAAATTGGAAACCTAGAAAAAGTCTCGAGGCAGTAACTTAAGACAGAATCATTCAAGAATTTAAAAATAGCAGAAAAATCGCATTCTTGAATCCTGAAATTTCATTTTATCTCTATTTTCTCCTATTTTTCTGAGTTTTGCTTCTCTAGACAAAACACATCTGCACTCGATTACTCGCTCTCACAGACATTTGATTCTCTTTTTTCTGCCTTCTTTTTCTTCTGTCTCATCTGAATCATCCCGCCCCGTATCTTCTTCTTCTTCTCCGTCCCTCACGTCTTCTGAATCCATCCCGAATCTCCAGAAGACGTCGAAAAGTCATCTGTTAAACTGAGGGGCAGTAATCTTTTTCTTCTTCTCACGCTCTTCTTCTACCCATCACGAGGGTTTAACTCGTCTTTTCACGTCTTCTGAATTCTTCAGATGGGATTCTGGAGAGAGGGACGTCTTCTGAATGGAATTCTGGAAATATTTCTACAAAGACAAGAACGCTGGATTTTTTTTTATTTTTTAGGCATAAAAAAATTTCGGAATAAGAAAACAGGAAGCGAGGGAAAATTTGTTTTCTAGATTTTTTTTTCTGGAAATCCAACTCGGTTACCTTACTTACTGGAAAACGAGACTGGTGGCCTAGAAATTCAAATTTTGGAAATTCAACCTGGCCGAGTTTTCGAAATATCTAGGCCATGAAAGTTCCTTGTTCATAACCCCTGTATCTTATCTAATATTCAACCGATTTTGGTTGTTTTCAGCTTCAAATTTTGGATTTTTCAAGGGCTTTTGAATAAATAAATTTGTGACCAAGTTTGAATTATTTTAAATTGTTAAAATGTTAGACTTGTCCCCGATTTTTCAAAATATTCAGGTCATGAAATTTTTAGATTTTCAAAATCCTGTAACTTCTCTCAAATTCAGACAATTTTAATGATTTTTAGCTTGAAATTTTGGATTTTTCAAGAGCTTTCAAATGAATATATTTTAACAAAATTTGGCATATTTATAGTTGTCCAAATCTTGGACTTGTATTGCCGAGTTTTCTGAAATTCTAGCCCATGTAATTTAATAATTTCAAACTTCTGTAACTTCTCTGAAATTCATCCGATTTTGATGATTTTTGACTTGAAATTTAGGACTTTTCAAGAGCTTTCGATTCTATATATTTTGAATAAATTTCAAAATTTCAAAGTTTCTGAAATTTTGGAATTTGAACCCTTACCTAAAAAATTACCGAAAAATTACCAAAACCCCCCATTGTTCCAAAATCCCTAATACTACCTTTGACCTTTTTTATGGTCCTCCCTCATAACAGAGAACACTCTTTTCTCTGCGTCTCTCTATTTTCCATACTCTCTAACTCTTCTTTTCATTTCGCGGGGGTTCTCCAGACACCTAGGCCCTACACTTAACCACCCATTTCCTATTCTAGTGACGACACTTTTTCTTTTGCTCAAGAACAATTTTTGTAGTGATTTTTAGAAAATTTTAGAGGTCATTTTTTCTACAGTAATCCCTTTTGAGTCCAAATGACACTATACTGTACTTTTTGGTCTCTCTAATCAGCTGAAATTTTCTGTACTGAAAAATTCTGGGCTAAAGAATATTGAAGAATTTTTTTCGAAAAAGAATATGTTCTAAAAATGATTTCAGCCAATTTTTTTCTCAAACACATAGATCATATTTTTTCTCCTTTTTAGTTTTTTTTTGGCTAAAATTTATGCGAGAAAATCTTTTTTCCTATTTTCATTCTTTTTGACCCCAAAGTTAGCCGAGAATTTGAAATTCCAGATTTTAGAAAATTCAAATTCATACCAATTTTCCCATCCGAAACTTTAAATGACTCGGAAAATTGATTTCCAGTTGAAAAAATTCCAGAAATTTCTAGAAAAATCTGAAATTACAATTTTCTCTTCAAATCTCTTTTTTGACCAAACTTTTGAAACTTCAAAAATTTTCAAATAAACAATCCCTAAATTTTTTCCCACAAGGTCTTAAAATTTTTGTTCTTGACCAGTAAGCTTTTGTAGGATAAACAAATTTTTCGGGCACACAAAATGTTCAAAAGAGCACAATAGAATGGAGAAATTGGATTTTTTCGCAAAATTTGGATTCTGAAAAAATCTGAGAATCAGAAAAAAAAAACAAATTTTGAACTTTTGAATTCCTGGAGATGTTCCTTATTCTTTTTTTTTTTTTCAAAAATCCCTTTTCTCTAAAAGACTATATTTTATGGTTTCTGCTCTTTTAATCCCTTCTCATTTTTCTCGTTTTTTTTTTGCTTGACTTGCTTCTGTGTCCAATTAAAATGAATAAATGAAACTCTCCACACCCTCACATCATTTTTTCTCTTTTTTCAGGAGAACTTAATTACTTTTTTTTTCATTTTCCAAGTATTTTTTATCTGAATGACATTTCAGAAAGAGTTTAGAACACATTGAAGCGGAGAAAATTTAACAAGACAGAAATAGGTTAAACTAGATATTTGGATTTTATAGTTTTTTTTGACAATATGAAACAAAACCAGAGCTTTATTTTTGTAGTTGACCACTTGTTTCTAGATACCGTAGTTTTGGAGATATGCGCCTTTAGAGTGGGCGCCCCTCCCTCCTTTTGGCGCCTGACGACGGGAGGCCAACTTTAAAGGCGCATATCTCAAAAACTACTGTATATTAAAAAAAAGTTGCTAATTCTAAAAATATGTAAAATGTTATTTTAAACTTTTTGTTAGTTAACAAAAAATGTCTAGCTTTTTACGTTTTGGAGAAATGCACCGTCGAATATTGGGCACCTCGGCGCCACGAGGGGTGGTGGTCTGAAGGCGCGCCAACTTTAAAGGCGCATATCTCAAAAACTACCATAGCTAGAAAAAAGTTACAAACATGAAAAATTTTATTTCAAGCATTTTATGGGTAAATAAAAAATGTCTAGCTTTCTTAGTTTTGGAGATATGCGCCTTGGCTATCTTCCATTCTTCGAGCCGACGTTGTTCCAGAAAATCTCCCTAACTTTGTTCATTTTTATTCAAGATCTACAAATTTAGATTGATTCGATTCAGCGGAAAACTTCACATCTTTAAAACGTACTTTCAGCCAAAACGAGACATTCACTAGCACGATGTCGTCGGTTCAACAGGAAGAAATATGCCGGTTTCGTGGGACAACAGAGAACTACACCATTGCGGTCACATTTTTTACCATCTTCCTTTTATCAGTGGTGGGAAACTCGGTGGTTTTGATTGTGATAATTAAGGTTGGTTAATTGAATTCAATGTTTGACTTTTTGGAATCCAAACTCAATTTCAGAGGATTTTTCGAAGCCTATTTTCAACTTTGAGCTCAATTATTTCGGTCACTGCAAGAGATATCGAAAATCTGTCAACTGATAAAATATTGATAATATTATGATAAATAATTTATTAGTTGGCAAATTTTTGATATCTCCCATAGAAATCGAGATAATCGACTTCAAAATTAGCAGTAAATTTCTTTTACAGAATTTAGAAATTTTTGTTCTCTAGAAAATGTTCAAGTCTAAAAACCCTAAGTATTCCAGCAACGAGCGATGCGCTCAATCACCAACATTTATCTTATGAATCTTGCTGCTTCTGATATGATGCTATCAGTGGTTTGTATGCCACCGACACTTGTTTCAATGGTCATGAACTGTTGGATGTTCGGCAATTATATGTGCAAAATTTTGGCTTATTTGCAGCGTAAGTTATCATAATTTCTAAAAAAGATACCTATAATCTGTTAACTGATAAAATGTTGGTGATATTATGAGGAACATTTTATCAGTTGACAAAATTTCTGATATCTTTTATCGGAACCGAGATAAAATAAATATTTCCAGCCGTCGTAGTAACCGCATCTGCCTATACGTTAGCTGTAATTGCATTTGAAAGGTATTTTGCGATTTGTAAACCACTGCATTCGAGGATTTGGCAAACCAGGTATTTTTCCTTAAAAAAAAGGATTCTTATAATTTCTGAAAGTTTTCAGATCCCACGCCTACGCAATGATCACATTGGTCTGGGTCATCGCGATCGCTGCTAACATACTCATGTTATTCATGTACGAACAGCAAACGTATAGTTCGAATGGTTATACATGCGCACCGATTCATCCACCGATTTATCATTTTGCTTATCAGGTGGGTTTTTTTTTAGCAAACTAGACTGTTCTAGCTCTCTTGGTATTTGAGTTATGCGCCTTTGAAAATAGAGTAGTTCTAGGCGCCACGCCTCACAAGAGGGGTCCCATTTTAAAGGCGCATATCTCAAAAACCATGATAACCATGCAAAAGTTATCAATTATTGAAATGTATGAAATTGAATTTCATAAATTTTCGTAGTTGACAACTCTGTTCCAGCTCTTGTGGTTTTTGAGATATACGCTTTTAAAGCTAACTTTGCCGACAGGCACACGCCATCCCAACTTTAAGCGCATATCTCAAAAACCACAGTAGCTAGAAAAACGTTGTTCACTACAAAAAAAGCTCTAGTTTTGTTTGATATAATCCAAACAAAAAGAGCCTAACTACAAGAAGTTTCCAGGTCTACATGACAGTTGTGCTGCTTGTCATCCCACTTGTCGTGATGACAGGTCTCTATGGAAACGTCATAACATCTCTAAAATCAGGAATCAAACTGGAAATTGCCTCCGTCGATCCGCCACTGGCGACAGCCACCACAACAGGTTCCCAAAAAGAAAACAATCAGAATCCCGTTTTGTTGAACAATGTGCTCGTCGGTAGCTCCACCCTAGCTCGTGCCACGTCGTGCATCGCTCTCAACACGTTTTCCACCTCTTCCCCTGTCGTCGTCTCGTCTTCTGATTACAGTACACCTCGTTCGATTCTCAAAGAGTCTAGAAGTCCACAACTTCTTCAGTTACCCGGAAATTTCGATGATTTTCGTCTTCAGTGTCTTTCAGAATGCCGTCGTTCTAGTGGTGGAGTGTGTTTACCCCCGCCAGGTGTTGTGCATTTTTTTTCGTTTTTTGGGATTTTTTTATAATAGAAATGTTGACTTGGTTGGGATGTGAGGTACGGTACCAGGATCTTTTTTGTGGCTCTTCTGGTTTTTGAGGTGTTCGCGTCTGGGTATCCTATCTTTAAAGACCTATATCTCAAAAACCAAAAAACCTAAACAATTTTTGTTAACTAACAAAAAGTTTAAAATCTCATTTTACATATTTTTGTAGTTAACCTCTTTTTTGTAACTCTTTTGCTTTTTGAGATATGCATATTTAAAAATTGCCGACTTCACGCGCTCTCTTCTCATGGTGCAGAAGTACTCCAACTTTAAAGGCGCATATCTTGAAAACCAAGAATGTTAGAAGAAAAAAGTTGTCAACTACAAAATGAAGTTCTAGTTTAGTTTTGTCTATACTGAAAATTTCAGAAAAATCCCAAAACATTAAACTGCATTTGTGAAAGTCTGAAAACCTCAAATTTTCCAATATTTTTGCAAACTTCATTGTCTGGTACCTTACCTTACATCTCTTGGTTTTTTAATAGTATTTTTTAAAACTAATTTTTAGAAAGTTTTTTTACATAGTCATCTAAATCTCAATTTCAGGGTCCCCAAAAGTTTGATTTTGTAGAGTTTAGAGTTTTTTCCTTGTTTTTTAATCACCGATTTTCTTTTTCATTCCGTTTTGACCCGTTTGGTTTTCTTCCCCGGTATTTGTGAAATGATTTTTTACCCTAGTGTTCTCCTCTGTTAATTTATGCTAATTATCAATTAATTAACATTTCTCAATTACAGCAATTGTGGCTTCAATGACTGATGAGCAGAAGCTATCCTTCTGGAACAAGTTGTCGAACAAGTTGACTTTCAGTCAGCCGGATAAAAAGTGAGTTTTCGAATTTTAGAATTTCAAAATTTCGGCAATTTTCTGAATTTCCAGCGTCTCCCATCCGAATTTCGGACATCGTCGATCTGACACCTCTGTCTGTATTGAAAATCCCAGCTTACGATCTACCCATACTCAGAAAAGTGCAATGGCGAAGCAAAGAGTCATCAAGTTAGCCTTTTTTGAATTTCGCGCCAGATTCAAATTCAAAATTCAAAATTTCCAGAATGCTCATCGTCGTAGTGATCATTTTCTTCTGCTGCTGGACACCATCCTATATTTGGTGGCTCTTGTTGATTGCTGGGGACTCTTTTCAGGTGGGTAGGCCTTGGAAAGTTAGGCCACAAATTTGAAATTTCCAGAGTCTGAATCTCTCCGTCTGGAATAGTGATATCAACACATTTATCACTCTCCTCACCTACATCTCCTCATGCACCAATCCAATCACTTATTGCTTTTTGAATAAGAAATTCAGAAATGCAGTTTATGCGACATTTGGAAGGAAAAAGAATATGAGACATCATTTTCAAAAGGTTAGTTATTTTGGGGAGGAACTTTGAAGGCGCATTTCTCGAAAACTACGGTAGCAAGGGAAAAATTGTAAACTACAAAAATATAAGAAATCTAAACTTCTAAATTTTAATGGTTAATAACTTCTTCATAGCGTTCTTAAGTCTTGAGATATGCGCCTTGAATGATGGCGCGCCTCCCAATGGCACCTGCGAAGGTGAGCGCTACTTTTAAAGGCGCATATCTCCAAAACAACGGTAGTTGGGAAAAAGTTGTAATCACAAAAATGAAGCTAATTGAATTATGCATATTTTCATAGCTTGCAACTTTTTTCTATCTATAGTAGTTTTTGGGATATTCGCCTTTAAAGTTGGCGCGCCTTCAGTGACCACCCACATCGTGGCGTCGAGGTGCTCTGTCTTTCAAGGCGCATATCTCAGAAGCTATGGTAGCTAGGAAAAAGTTTTCAACTACAAAATTTTTTGAAATTTAATTTTTTATATTTTCATATTTAATAACTTTCTGGTAGCTGTTTTAGTTTTGAGCTATGTGCCTTTAAAGTTGGTGCGTTTTCTCGGCCTTGGGGAAAGGGGAGCGCTCCAATTTTAAAGGCGCATATCTCGAAAACAACGGTTTCTAGGAAAAATAGGTCAATTGTAAATTTAAAACTCTAGCTTTGATTTATAATCTCAGAAATTTTCAGACAAATTAAACAAGTTTCGGGTTTTCAAAATATCTTAAATTTAAAATAAACATTTGTCAAACTTTCAGTTTTTCTCAGTTTTTCTCTCTAACGCTCTCTTTTTCTAACAATCTCTAAAAATTGAAAAATCAGTGTGTTGCCTTAATTGCAGCTTAATTAGTTTCCCCTTTGTTATTTTCTCTCTATTCAGGTCTACATTCCAGTCAACGGTGGGGCTCAATACACTAACAAAGGAGAGGGGGCTCGTCCGATTATTAACAGGTACTAATCACTAATTAAGTAATTAATTACTTATTCGAAATTTTGTTTTTGTATACGTTTGTGTGTGTGAATCATTTAATTAACGCACATCTTCTTTGCTTCTAGGCTTAAAATTCAAAAAAAATTTTTTTCAAAAAAAATACTTTTAAGTTCACAATCCGGCAGCGATTGGTCCAAGGTTCGTCAATTATTGATTTATGGATTTTTTTATATATTTTTTCTCTATCGTCTTTCACTCTCTCACTCACCACTTCTAACTATGTCTCACACCAGCTGAAAACTGATTCAAATTTTCTCTATCAGCATGAGTTTTCAAACAAAAACAAATAGTTTTCACTCTCAATTTCAAATTTTTTTAACTTTTTAAACTCATTTTTATCGATTTTTTTCCAGGTCGGTCTCGTCGACCTTCATTCCACAACATCAAGTCGTTTTTAACGACGTTTCAATTGATACAAGCAGTTCGGCAATGAGGAAAAAGGATGGTGAAAAGGGACATCATTTGATTTCTAGAACGGTGATTTTTTTTCAATTTTAAAAAATTTCAGAAATTCAGAAATTCAGAATTTCAGAAATTCAGAAATCCAGAATTTCAGAAATTCACAAATTCATAAATTCACAAATTCATAAATTTGGAAATTCAGAAATTCGGAAATTCAGATATTCAGAATTTCAGATATTCAGAATTTCAGAAATTCAGAATACTAGAAAAATCAGAAATCCAGAATTTCAGAAATTCAGAAATTCATAAATTCAGAAATTCATAAATTCAGAAATTCATAAATTCGGAAATTCAGAAATTCAGAAATTCAGAAATTCAGAAATTCAGAAATTCAGAAATTCAGAAATTCAGAAATTCAGAAATTCAGAAATTCAGAAATTCAGAAATTCAGAAATTCAGAAATTCAGAAATTCAGAAATTCAGAAATTCAGAAATTCAGAAATTCAGAAATTCAGAAATTCAGAAATTCAGAAATTCAGAAATTCAGAAATTCAGAAGTTCAGAAATTCAGAAATTCAGAAATTCAGAAATTCAGAAATTCAGAAATTCAGAAATTCAAGCATTAAATGTAAAAATTTCAAAAATCTGAAATATGGTTTTCTATAATTTCAGAAAATTTTTCATGAATTTTTAAATACATTTGAAAAATTCAGATTTTTTTCAACTTTTGGATTTTTAAAAATTGCAACTTTCACTTATATTTTGAATTCAAATTATTTATTTAACAGGATTTTTTTTCGATTTTTTAAATAAAGTTTTTTTTCAGGTCCACGCTTCCCTGATCCACCATAACAAGGTTCGAAAAGAGGAGACCGATGCGATTTTTTGATTTATCTTCCTTTTCTAAATTTTTTTCGAATACTTTCTTACTATATGTGTGTGCCATTACTGTAAAAAATCGGGTCTTTTTTTTTAATTTTGGAATATTTTTAAAATTCTAATTCACCGGTAAACCCCCTCTTCTTCTGATGTATAGGTCAACAATGAAATAAATAAATACCTTTTTTTTTAAATATGTACATACAATAGAAATCTGAATACACGTAATTAAATTAGGTGAGGGTAATTAAACAATTAATTAGAGGTAATTAATTAATCGATTAATTAGGATCAATATTAAACATTAAACTGTACAAGTCATCGACGACTTCCAGTGCCGACGAACCAGATGTTTCAATCAATAATCGAATTAAAGAATCTGTCATTAATGCCAAAAATTTCATATTTTGTTCTGTCATCATGTATAAACCATCACATTGGACACAGTATTGACGGACTCCGCGAAGATTTACTGGAAGAAATTGAACTTTTGGAAATAAAGGAATTCGGCGATTTCAGAAATTTGAAAAGAATTTCTCTGAATTTCTGAATTTCTGAATTTCTGAATTTCTGAATTTCTGAATTTCTGAATTTCTGAATTTCTGAATTTCTGAATTTCTGAATTTCTGAATTTCTGAATTTCTGAATTTCTGAATTTCTGAATTTCTGAATTTCTGAATTTCTGAATTTTTGAATTTCTGAATTTCTGAATTTTTGAATTTCTGAATTTTTGAATTAAAAAATTCTTGAAACTCACAAGTATCAGTCAAATAAATGGTTGGAATTTGCACATTCTTCTGTTTGGAATGGAAGAAAAATGACGAGTGATCCGAGTAGAGGAATGGGTGAAGTCTGAAAAAATTCTTTTTTAAAATTCATCTTTTTGATTTTTCAGAATTAAACCTAGCAAAATTATATCGCTCTGGATCTAGCTATAAGGGAAAATGGATTAATTTTTAGTGGGAAAATTGGATAAAGAATAACTTGTATAACCGGTCTAAAGTCGTAATGTTCCCAATGTTCATCTGAAGATTCAAGGACCATGGATGGAATTCCCAATCGGACGAGAGCATCTGACATGAACGATCGTAAGCGCGAGTGTATCTGAAAACTGATTATGAATTTATTTAAAATTTTAGAAAAGGGTCTGAAAATTTATGGAAATTCCTCAAGAAGGCTCAAAAAAGTGGGATGCGCGCCAACTTTAAAGGCGCGTATCTCAAAAACTACAGTAGCTAGTAAAATGTATAACTACGGTCCATCAATATTGTATTCGAGTTAGAATTTCAATTTTTGAGCCACTCGATTTTAAATCCGAACATTAAAAACCCACTTTTTTACCAAATAATCATCAATATCACTTCTAGAAGACACCTGGATAAAGTCTCCCATATGAGAATGCTCATGGAGCGATTGAGCGGCTTCTGGGAAGAACTGAAAAATAAATACTACAATTTTTCTTCAGAAGTCTTTTTTCTCACAGATTCAAACTCTGGTGGCATTGCCTGGGAAGCTGGGAAGGGGTCGAAATGAAGAAGGCCATCGGCAATGACACTTCCAATGACTTTAGTATTGGTTCGTTCCATCAGTGGGAGAAGAACGTCTTCCACGAAGGCGTGGGAACCAGCGAGGGCCTGGAAACTTTTTTTCAGTATAAAAATCAATATAGAGGTTCTTAAAGTGCCTATAACGTTGTTAGTTTCCAATCTACATTTCGAATTTTTCAACCACTCAATTTCTTATAAAATTTCCCCATCTAACCTTATGTTTCATATCGAAAAAGACATAGACAATGGTATTCTGTCTGGAATACAAGTTATCCAAAGTGGAGAGCACCCTAGCTGCTTCCAGGACAGCAGCCACACCAGATCCATTGTCATCCACTCCTGGAAAAAATTGGAATCAAAAATTTCTAGATTCTAAAATTCTAGGAGCTCGAAATAAAATTGCTCACCTTGATTGCCTTCTAGCGTATCATAATTTGCTGATAAAACCATCATTTTGTCATTTCCGGTCCCAAAATATGGGCCCTTTTGAACAGCAATCACATTGGCACCGATTTCGTTCTGGAAATATTTTTTTGAACATTTCGATTTTCCGAATTTTCTAAGCTTCTGTCCCTATATAACTTGTACGTATAATTAACGAAACAAGAGCTTTATTTTTGTAGTTGACAATTTTTCCTTAGCTACCGTAGTTTTTGAGATATGCGCCTTTAAAAAGAGCTATCGTATTTCCTGTAATAGCAGACCACTCTGTGCTTGAATTTTGAGTTCAATCATCTCGGTTGCTATAGAAGATATCAAAAATCTGTCAACTGCTAAAGTTTTGGTGATACGATATCTCTCACAGAAATTGAGATAATTGAGATCAAAGTGCAAGTATAGGGTTGCCTTCTATTACGAGTGTATACCGTATACGGCTAACTAAAATTGAAGCTTTTGAAAAAAAATGCCTGAATTTTTTGTCGGAAAATTTATTTTTAAGACTTACAGATTCCTCGTGAATAAAAGTATGGGTCATGGAAGCCAGGCCAACTGCTTCAAGTGCTCTTTTTATTGCAGCTCTTGCCACAGATTTCTCTGTTTCGTTATATCTGGAAATTTAGGAAAATTTAGAAAAGAATTCTTCGAAAAATTTGAAAGCTATAATCGGTTTTTCAAATTTTTTTTTGAACCAAAAAATTGTTGTTTTGTTTTTTTTTGGATTTTCGATTGGTCAATTTTGAGCTCGACAATCTCGGTTTTTTGGGGAATATATCAAAGAGTGGGCAACTAAGAAATTGTTTATCATAATATCACCAATATCTTATCAGTTGACAAAATTTTGATATCTCTCACAAGAATCGAGATAATTGAGCTCAAAGTTAACGGCTAGAGGAAATCGCTCACCTTGAAATCGACAAAAACCTTGACAAATCATGTTTCATCCGATCCAAATCTGCTATTGTTGTCAGCCCATTAGCCAAGACGCAGCAAATCAATCCGAATATCCAGAAAAATCTCATTTTCCACAAAACTGACTTTCCTTCTCCAACCTTTAGAGCTCCAGGGGAATATGGATAAAGGGGCGGAGCTAAAGTGGGCGGAGCCAATTGGATCAGGAAGAGGGGAAAGTGCCAAATGTTTGTGCAAACCGGATCAGTATCTCTCGTATTTTTGGATTTCCCAGTTTCGACAGACTGTTTGCTTTAGAGGGAGGTCAATACACTATTTGTTTTCAAAAATCTGTTAACACTATCAGTCCTTCCACTGATTTCTATTTGTTTTTTGTTCCGGGAAAGGAGTCGGACGGTGCCAATGCCACTTGAACTCATTGGCTCACTGTGTTTTTTGAAGAGAGCAAAGTGTAAGTGATCTCGTTTTGAAACACAGTTTTAACATAGGAAAAAAGCGTATTTGAGAAGTCAGGGTCTTTAAAGGCGCATAGCTAGGCACCGCAACGCGAGGGGGCGGAGCCTAATTTTTTTTCTCTTGGGGGGTATCTGGCATGTTTGAAGGCGTAGAACTCGAGACTGGATGGACCGATTTTTATGAAATTTGGTCTCGTTATGTAAAAAAAACACGTAGAATCGACTGATGTAAAGCGTTTGCGTTGAAAATCAACGACTTTCAAAATACTCGTGAAAAACAGAAATCGACATGAGAAATTTGGTCTGAAAAGTGTAATAAAAGTCGATGTCGCTTCTTTTTATGATTGTTCTAAATACTGTTCTAAATACACAATACGCCCACTGCAACCCCCTCAGAGAAAATGGATGAAAAAGGGGGTTACAAAAAAGGGTGTATCTCGAGAACGGATGAACATTTTCGAAAAAAAATTCGGAATTATACTAATATTGATATGGTGAATACGATAATATAAACAATTCTCAGGAAAAATGAGTTTGAAAAAATCGTTGTGGTGCCTACGCATGGCTCAAGAACAAAAAGCGCTAGACCGTTTTTGTTAACTATTGTCTATTCAAAATAATCGCGCGGATGAACGAGTAAAAAACGTGTAGAGAGTATCAAAACCTGTAGAGGCGCTGTAGAGACGCAGACATTTTCACTCGTTCACTCGCGCGATTATTTTAAATACACAATAATGAAATGTTTGAAATCAAATTTAAAATAGTTTTGTAGTTAAAAACTTTTTCTAGCTACTGTAGTTTTAGAGTTATGCGCCTTTAGCTAAATTTGGCTGCTAGTCGTGGAATCCGAAGAACTCGGCCGCGAAGTTGAGTTTCTAGGACTAGGTTTGGAATTTTCTGGACCATGAAATTCAACAAATTTTCATAGTTTTTGAAACTTCTGGGTTAATTTCAAAAATTTATTCAATCTTTAAACTAGATTAAAACTTCCTAGTACTCGAAATTGTCATAGAAACAAAAATAAATTACAGCATTTTTTTCCAAACCCTATAACTTTGTCAGGGTTCATTTTTTTTACCATGTTAAGTTCCCAAAAAAATTTGAAAAGGACCGAAATTTTACTGATTTCAACAAAGGATTCCGGAAAATCAGATTTAGTGGCTAATCTTTTTTTTTTGTACCCCTCATGACAAAAAATTACTCATCATCGTAATCAAATGGTCTAGTCCAAACCGGTAGAAATGAAAAAAGACAAATCATTCTAAAGGATAGGCAAACAAAAGAAAAAGAAATCTGCGTTAAGGAGATCAAGAAATGACTCAGATTTTTGAGTTTTCGAGAATATTGTCTGGTAGTTGTCTGGGAATGAAAAACTGGAAAATTTCCAAAAAATCAAATTTTTGCATCCGTTTATTAGAGCGCATTTGTCACTTCACACAAGTCTTAAATGTGGGGAGACAGGAGATTTTTCGTAGTTTTTTTGTAGCTAGAGTATGCATTCTACCGTCACGGTGTACATCGCTTAATGCCACTCTGCGTACAGCTGTCGTCCTCGCCTTTATGTATGCAATCGGGCGTGCGCTTTCTCTTTGCCCGCGTGGCTCAGTCGGTAGCGGCGCCGCACCCTCAATCATCGCCCTCACAAGTTCAACTCCTCGAGAGGCATCTTTGAACGGAATTTCGAGAACATTATTTTTTTCATGTCCCCCCACCTTTAAGGAAGAGAAGTCTGGAAGTTATTGTATCTGCTTTTTTGGAATTTTCTGGAGTTTCCGAATTTTCTAGATTTTGAATTTCTTGGAATCCATAAGGATCCCAGACTTTCAGCACTTATTGAACTTTTCTGGAAATTGAAACAGTTTAAATTTTGATATCTTTCACAGGGACCGAGATAAATTGGCTCAAAGTGAACGAGTAGCTCCGCCAACTTTTCAACTTGGAGCTCAAATATCTCAGTTCCTATAAAAGGTATCAAAACTGTGTCAACTGATAAAATGTTGCTGATAACATGGAAAACATTTTATTAGTGGACAACATTTTGATTCGATAAAATTTGAGATAATTTACGGTATTTCAAAGATCCCCATAAATTTCTAGGCTCATTTTTTTCCTTCAAAAAAAAAACATCTGAAGTGTTTTTTTTTCCGGGCTGGCAGAGGGTGTCATCACTTCCTTTTCAAATAAATTCCGCCTTTTTTGTTTTTATTTATCCCAATTTTTTCTTGTCGAGTTTCCTCTTGAAAGAGCTTGCGTTGAGCATCCATCTCCTAGTGAGTATATATTTGAAAAATAGTACAAAAACACAACAGCACACAAAGAGAGAGAATTGTTTATTTTTTCGAGTCGTCAAAAAAACAGAGACGAACACAAAAAATAGGAAAATGGATAGACACTCAAAAAAACAGGAGGAAATGGGGGGGAAGATAGACAGGAAAGAAGGAACTTAAAAATCTGAAAATAAAGAATCTTGAATGATTTCTGTAGTAATCAAAACACACAGAAAATCTGAGATTCTGATCAACAATCTAAAAGGAGGGGTGGCCTTGAAAGTCCCTAAGAAATTCCATGGCCGAATGTTCCTAAGCCACCCATTAAATTTTTTTTCCAATTAAAAAAAAACCCGTCATCAAACCACCCGGAACATTCTCGAATATAAATAAACCCATTAAAAACCAGGGACAAAATATAATATTAAATGTTTAATTACTCTTTTTTTCAAATTAATCCATCAACGGCGGTTCCCGTAAATAATACATCCAGTAGAAGACGTTGAATATTGCGAAGACACCTGAAGTTAATTAGTTAATTGGGGGTAATTACCTTGTCATGGCTTACATGGAAATGCAAATCTTGCGGCTTTATCAATTGATAAGGCTTTTCGAGAGAATTTCAGCGCTTTGTACATCAGATGCGCCGAGTTTTTGTTGAGATTCCCGTAGTACTTGGTGGGTCCTTCCTCGTAATCCGAATCGTAGTCCGCTGCTAAATAGTTAACTTTTACCCAATTTATCTCGGTTTGTGTCAAAGATATCAAAATTTGGTAAACTGATAAAATGTTTATCACACTAATAAAAACATTTTCGTCGTTGACCAATTTTTGATATCTTTTACAGAGACTGAGATACATTAGATCAAAGTTGAGAGATCGGCAGTCGCCCCCCTAGCTCAGCCAACACGGCTTCGACTTTTCAACTTAGAGCTAACTTATCTAGTTTCCTGTGAAAGATATCAAAAAGTGACTAACTGATAAAATGTTTATCAAAATATCAGAAATAGTTTATTAGTTTATTATTCTTCAGTATCTTTCACAAGAACCGAGATAATTTGACTCAAAGTTGAAAGTTAAGAGACCTTTTATTACAGGCTTTACGGAATTCCAAATCACTCACCAATGATTGGTTTTCCACCATAAGCGCTCTGAATCTTTTCAGCCATATGATTGTACTTGTTGGCTCTTCTCATATAGCTGTTGACCATGGCAAACTCCAGAAGGACACCAAAGATGAATAGCATACAAACTGGAAAAGGGAAAAGGTTAAAAATCAATTAGGGTGCCCTTTTGATCCTTTATATCTCAATTCCTGTAAAAGATATCAAAAAGTGGTCAACTGATAAAATGTTTATCACAATATCAGTAAAATTTTGTTAATAGACTACTTTTTGATATCGCTCACAGAAGCCGAGATACATTTCATCAAAATATACGAGTCCTGTTATTACAAGATTGCTAACGGACCGTTGGCGGCTCTAAATTGATTCATAAATGTGCATTTATTTTTGGAATACAGAAGATTTAAAATTTATAAGAACTTTTTTTTCGAAGTAAGCGCCTTTAAAAATCAGCTCAACACTCACCTCCATAGAAATAATCAATAGCTTTTGCATATGAAACTGCAGGAAGAGCATACCGGATTCCATTACCCTGAAATTTAGAGTTTTCTTACTAATTAGTTGATGGTTTTTTGAAGAATTACCTGTGTACTCAACGTAAGCAATGTGGTAAATGATAAGCTGACTCTCGCCGGCACCGCCCGTCTATCAATCCAAAACGAAACCCATGAAATTGCGACAATCAACGCTGTTGGAATATAACTTTGTACTAAATGAAATCCAATTGCTCTTTTTAGTTTCAGCATTCCCAGAAGGCATGAAAACTCGCCAACTCGCGATGAATTATGAGTTAGTGTGTAGAGGAATACTCCATTACAGTAATCCTTGTCCAGCGCGCGGATATGGAATTCGGGTAGATCGATTTCAGGGTTGAAGCGGATTGGGTCATTGGGAAACCAGGTGACATTCATCTCGTTTTTTACATGAGCATCTGGAAATTTCTAAAATTTTGAAAATGAAAAATGTAGGTCTTGAAAAGAGTTACAAAATGATATAAAATTCGTCAAATTTGAATTTCCCTATCATACAGGCAGAGCGTTGCGCCAAGACCTATATTTTTGTTTTCAAAATTTCAGGTGTTGTAGTTATTAAAAGGATGTAACTTTCTTTAAAATTGACTTTTTCAGAAGTTCTAAAATGAAAAATGTAGGTCCTGAAAAGAGCTACAAATTGTAATGTAATTCGCCTAATTCAATTTATTCTAGTCTCAATTAGAGCCATTTTCAGACAATTTATCTTAAAAATTCCAGATTCCTGTCAAATAGTTTAGAAAGTCCCCAGAAGTTTAGAGTCTTTTTTAGATTTCAAATTTTTTTCAAAAAACTTGACTCTGAACTTTTTAAAACCCCGATTTTTGATGTTCCCCTCCCTCTTTTCCGGTTGATTCAGAAAAAAAAACATCACAAGATCGGAAAAGGACACCCAAAAACATTCTCAGACATGCCAAAATTTTATCCGGGTGGTTTGTGGGGGTCCAAATTTGATTTATATCTTTTTCTATGACACATTCAAATAAATTTTGAAAAGATCACAGATTCCAAAAATCTAATAATCCTAAATTCAAAATTGTAGCTCAACACTCACAACTGATAACTTTAATATAACAAGTTTGATAATCCAGTGGGTAATCCTTCAAATCCAAATTGCACGCCAGGTTCAGGGTGACTCTGGTACCATAGGATACTGTTCCTTGCGGAGAAATGAACATGTTGAAGTTGTGAACGGTGACCTGGAAATTTGGAATTCTTAATTAACGAATGAAGAAAATTATAGCGACTTGGATAAGCTAAAAAACTAAATGTAAGATTCTAGCGTGAAAATGAAGAGAGTTATAGTAAAAAGTTTATTATTGTTCAAGCCCAACTATCTGAGTTACAAAAAATTGGTCTATAAACAAAATGTTTAAAATCTTATGGTAATTATTTTTGTAGTTGACAACTTTTCTGTATCTTTCTCGCTTTTCAAGATATGCGTCTTTGAAGGTGGTGCGTCTCATGGCGCTAACTTTAAAAGCGCGTATCTCCAAAACGGCAAAAGCTGACAAAAAATTGTCAACTACAATAATATGTAAAATTTTATCATTAATATTTCTTTAGTTGATAACGTTTTTGTAACTTTATTGGCTTTCAAGATATGCACCTTTAAAAACAGTACCCTACCTTGTGAAAATAAGCAGTCCTGGCGTTGGCAAAGTACAAATCCGGCAGCCAAATTTTGTCCAGAACATCCTTATCATTCACCAAAACATGTTCAGACCCATTATGTTTCATTGTATCGTCCTGCCAACTCATATAAAGATACATATCCATGTCGTAGGTCTGGAAATATGAAAAATGATTTGATTAGGGCAGCAATTAAGGGGAGAAAATTTGTTTCCGCGTAGTAAAAGCTTATTTGATTAACGATGAAAATGTTTCTTTTAATTCAATCTAGCTATGCAGCCATTAATTTGATTTTGTTTTCTAAAATAACGCGAAGAAAAGTAGTGATCTTTCAAAAATGAGCTTGAATCCAAATCTTCTTTTCTGATTTTCGGAATATTTCAGTTTTAAGAAAAGTTATGGGACTTGATATTTCCCAAAATGGCGATTATTGCTCAAAAAGTTACTCTCAAGATCTACATTTTGCACTTTGATCCGTTCCTAAATGTTGCATTTGATGGTGGAAGCGGCAATTTGAAATTCCCTGGGGACTAATCAATTCTGTCAAATTTAGACTGATTGGAGGTTCATTGAGACTTGACAAGCTCTAAAAGTAGCCTAGAAAATCCTAAACTAGAATTCCTAGGCCACCAATTTTCCAGGCCCCATCTACTTACCATTTCTGTAGCCCGGAAGTTTCCCAAACTCTCCACATAGAACCCAAAATGAACTTGTAGTGGCTCTTTAGGATTCCCATTCCTTGGCATTGGTTTCAGTTCCAGCAATCGAAACACATCTGGATTTGCCAGTGTTATTCGGAGTCTGAAATTATTAGAGATAAAGCCCTCGGGGGATTTAAGAGACCTCCCCGGTGGTTATGTCAATATTATGAACAATTTGTTTGTTTCTCGTGATTCTCCTTGAAATTCTAAACATTTTTCCAAGTTTACCCTATTTTGATTACTCGTCTTTAAGCCGAGATATAGATGTTTAAAGTTTGGAGGGCGCAGAGAGTCTAGCTTCTCTACGCTCTCCGCTTTATCTGTGACCTCTAGTTTGAATTTCTAAAATCCTTGTATTTTTCACGATTTTCCTTGAAATTCTAAACATTTTTTCAATTTAGCCTATCTTAATTGCTTATCTTTAAGCCGAGATATAGCCGTTTGAAGTTTAGAGCGCGTAGAGAGTGTGCGCTTCAAGGAGGGTGCAGAGAATCTAGCTCCTCTGCGCTCTCCCCGTTTTCTGTGGTATCTTGCTTAACATTTTTCAAGCTCTTATATCTTTGAAGCCATTTGAGGTATCGAAAAGCTTTCAACTAGAAAAATGTTCCTTTTTTCATTTTCTACCCATTTGCTTGTTTTCTAATTTTTTTGCAAGAAAAAAAAAGACAAATTGTGTTATTTCATGCGCCGTTCAGTAGAAATTTTAATAAATTTTAAATGACCTCCATTTTGAAGAAGCCCTTGAACGCCACTTTTTGTCAGAAATTTTTGAAAAATGACTTACAATAAAAACAATAGAACCCATTTGGTAGATGTCATCTTTAAATTACAGCGAATTTCGAAAAAAAAGAGGGGAAAATTCGAAATTCCGGAAACTCGCCGCTCGTTTTCCTGTTGTGAAGAGAGTGGGCGGAGTCTGGAAAAAAGGGGGCTGAAAAAAATGATGAAAGTTTTTGAGTAGAAAGAGAAAGATCAAGAAACAATGAGGAAGTTTTTTATAGGGGGAGAAAGTGTAAAGGGAAATGAATAATTTGTAAGGGACAAAAACAGATGGATTAAGTTACAGAAAATTGGAGAGAGGTGTCCTTTTTATAAAGCGGAATTTCATAAAGTATTTGTTAATGTTTTCAGGAATTTTGAACTTCGGGTCCCTGGGTCCCTGGGTCCCTGGGTCCCTGGGTCCCTGGGTCCCTGGGTCCCTGGGTCCCTGGGTCCCTGGGTCCCTGGGTCCCTGGGTCCCTGGAATTTTCAGATTTTCAGAATTTCGGAATTTTACAGGGTCAATTCTGAAAAAATACTAGGCTTTTTGGAATCTGGAATTTAAGATTACTTCTGAATTGTATAAATTTCATGTTCCCGGAAATTAGTAACTTCCATAGTTTCGAAAAACCACAAAATTTGAAAAATTAAAGAATTTCTAAATTTCTTTTTGGAAGTCGAGAATTTTTAGGAGTTTTGAAATCCTCAATATAAAGTTATTCTTTCGCAAAATTCAAAAATTCAAATTCAGAATTTCAGAAGTTTAGACCTTCAGGCTCTCAGAATTTCCAATTTCAGATTTTCAGAATTCCGGAATTGGAGAAGTTCTGAATTTCTGAATTTTGAAAGAAAAATAAGTTCTGAATTTCTGAAATTGTAATTTCTCAAACTTTCGTATTTTCAAAAGTTAAAAATTCCAGAATTTAAAAATTTCAGAACTTCAGATTTTCAGATTATTTCAGTTTTTCAGAATCGTTGAATTTAAAAATGAAGTAATTCAAAAAATTCAAGTTCTTCGAAATCAAAAAATAGAAAATGTTTCCAGGAAGTTTTAGATTTTTCGAAAGTTCCAGAATTATATGTTTTCTTAAATTCCTGATTTTGATTTGACGGTTTTTTTTTCTGAAATCTTAGAATATCCTAATCTGCGAAACTCAGAATCTGAAAAATAAAACTATATTTTTAGCAAGAAAATTTTCAGAAAAGGAACTGAAAAAGAGCTCTGTCTGACCAAGAGAAGTCCAAATCAAATTTCAAAAAATGTTCTATTCTTTTTTTTCAGTCTTCGTTCAAAAAATTGCTCAACAATAAAACAAAAAAAGGGAACACTTTACGAAAAAAAGGGAGAAAAGAGAGTTGTCCGAGATTTTTTTTTTCAAGCCAATTGAATTGCAAATCTCCGTGTATCTCGGATCTTTTTTTCGCATGTTCCGAACCAAAAAAAAAGTAAGGTTTCTCGAAAATTTATGAAAAAACCGAGAAGGGGAGCTCCAGGAGCAAAATGCTCATTATTTTGAGCCCCCCCCCCCCTTCGAGAGAGTTGTTTGTCTCTGAATCGAAAAAAAGAAGAGAAAATGGAGATATCGGGGGGGAAGAAAGAAACATTTTTTGAATGAGAAGGACTGGGGGTGTCTGGATTAAATTGGTCTTTTGAGTAGAACATTTTTTGGATTGGGGAGAATTTTTTTTTGTTGTAGATATAATTGGTTTTGGCATTTAGAACACACATTTATATAGAATTCAAAGGAATAGGAAGTGTCTTTGGAAATTCAGAAAAATAAGAAAAACAAAGTTAGTTCAAAACTTTTTTTGGGATTTTCTAAAAATCTGGAATTTCAGAAAGAGAATCTGTTCCAAGTTTTTTAGCCAATCAGACAGAATAAGAAAATTGAAAGAATTATTGTGGTTTATTAGAATCAAAGGAATTTCAGAAAAAGCTAAAATTTCAAAAAAAAAATCTGGAATTTCAGAGAAACCTATAGATCTGGATTTTATAAACCTGGAATTTAGAAATTAGGAATTTAAGAAGAAAAATCGAATTTCAGGAAAATCTGGACTTTCAGAAAATCTATAAACCTGGAATTTCAGAAACATCCAGGATTCCAGAATCTATAAAACTGGAAATTCAGAAAAATATTCTGGACTTCCAAAAAAAGCGTTCAGAGTGTTCAAAACTTCTGTCTCCCTAGACACTATTTTTGAGAATACTTGGGACCCCCTCCTCCCTCTCCACTTTTCGCCGTCCGTTTTTTTTCGGCTCATCGGCTCAAATTTCATTTGAGAAGACGACGACAAAGAGAGTGAGCTACAACAGGGACCGAAAACAAATTGCTACCCGTTCTCGTCTGTCTGTGTGTCTGTCTATTTTTCCATAGGAAAAAAAGAAAAAAACCGAACGGATTACGCGGGGAGAGCAGAAAAAAAACGATGGGTTAAGGAGCTCTCGCCGATGAAAAACATGCTCAGTGAGCAAAAGAGACGTTTTTTGTTTCTTAGTCCCTGATAGACATAGGAAGGGTCCGGTGACCAAGAAGGGAAACAATTTGGGTTGAGGAAATTGGATAAACGGTTTTTTTGAGACCAAGGTATATCGGTCACTTTTATTCTAATTGTAAGGATCCCTTTCAATGTAAACCAGTCGGTTTACGCTCTTCCGGGGCTTAACCTCCTGGCCTTCGGTTACAGTACCCGTAATCTTATAAAGAGATTTCTCCACTTTTATTCAGGGTCTCAAAATTGAAAGTTAAGAAATTCAGTGTTTCAGAAATGTCCGTTTTTTTTAATATTCAGAGCATTCAGTTCTGAGATAAGTGAATTCGAGAATTTCGAAGTTCGAAAACGTGGATTTTTCTCGCTCTCTCCCCTTTCGCCCGCCCCATTCGCCCTCACTGTGGTCTTTGAGTGGGTGATAAGGCGCGCGACATACATCCGGACATACAGAATTTGGCGAATGTTAATAGTAATGATAGCGTATTTCCCCTAATAGAACCTCACCCAAACTGTCAGCTTTGAGCTCAATTATCTCGGTTTTTGTAAGAGATATCAAAAAGCAGTCAACTGGTGAAGTTATGAAAATATTATGATAAACATTTTATCAGTTGACCACTTTTTGATATCTTTCACAGGAACTGAGATAATTGAGTTTAAAGTGAACGGTTTCTGTATGCTTTCATTGATGGAAAAACGGTAGCTGTGTCGATCCGAAAATTATTCACAGAAAATGGTCCAAAATTATCAATACACTTCAAAATCTAAAAATGTATGGTCTGAAGTTAGTACGTATAGAATTTTCAGCTCATTATTGAAATAATCGGAATCCAGAAAAAAAACGGTTTCATATTTTCAGATTTGTAGAATTTTCGTATTTCAGAAGTTCATATCTTTTGAATCTTCAATTCTTAGAATCTTCAAATCTTAGAATCTTAGAATTTTAGAACCTCAGAATTTCAGATTCCTGGAATTTCAGCTTGCTTGGTTTTTTGAATATTCAAGTCTTAGAATCTTAAAACTTCAGATTCTTGCTGTTTCAGAGTTTCAGAATCTCACAATCTTCTCGTAATGGGGATTAATGAAAAAGTCTAGATATCTCTGATTCTATGATTCTCTGATTCCGAAATTCGGAGAAGCTGAAACTCTGAAATCTCAAAGTCTGAAATTCCAAGACTCGTACTGTAAAACCTGTTAGAGGATCCTTTAATAGAAGGTCTCTTTTTTCTATTTTTAAAACTTCCAAGCACTTCTGAACAGCTGAAATGAAATAAGGGGGTTGATTTCTGATGACTATAGGCTCTGTTAGTCAGGAAAAGAAAATTGAGAACAACCGTCGAAAAAAAACGAAGAAGGTCCTTGGAAAAAAACCGAAAAATAGGAGATTAGGAGGGTGACCAAGCGTAGGAGAAGTCGGGAAAATAGGGAAAGCAAAAGGCACAAAAAAAGGAAAATGATCCAGATTTTTCGGGGAAAAAACGAACATGTGTGGGGGTGGAACTACTTGAGGGAGATGTGGGTAATGGGACTGATTTTGGAAAAGTGGAAACATTTTTTTCCAAAATTGGGTACTGTATAAAACTGGAATTTTGAAAATTAAAAAAGATTCTGAAATTCTGAGAAACTGAAATCCTGAAATTTCAAGAATCTCACTTTCTAGGATTCTGAATTTCTAAGATTCCGAGTTCCTAGTATTTTGAATTTCTAGGATTTTATATTTCTAAGATTCCGAATTTCTAGAATTTCTAGAATTGCTAAGATTCCGAATTTCCAGGATTGTGCCTTTCTAAGAATTTGAATTTCTAGGTTTCTGATTTATTGGGATTCTAAATTTCTAGGATTCTGAACTTCTAGGATTCTGAATTTCTAGAATTTCGAATTTCTAGGATTCTGAAATTTCAAGACTCTGACTTCTTAGGATTCAAAGGTTCAAAGACTCAAAGATTCAAAGATTCCCAGATTCTAAAATTCTGGAAATACCAAATTTTATAATTGAAGATTGATAGGTTCAAAAATTCTAAAATTCTACATTTTTGAGATTCTAAGATTCTAAAACTCTAAGATTCTAAGATTCTGAAATTTCAAGAATCTGAAACTCTAAAATTCTAATTGTAAGACTCTAGGATTCTAAGATCCTGAATTTCCAGAAGCTGAAACATGAAAATTCTTAGTCTTGAAGATTCTGAAAATCTGAAATTCTAAAATTCTAAAATTCTCACGATTTCTGGGGAATTGATAATTTTAAACAATTCACAAAGTCTTTAAGTTCTAAATTTGGCGAAACTGGACTGAAATTCGAAAATCCTAAGGTTCTAAAATTTGAATTTTTAGAAGGACTCGATTTTCAGAACTCCATAGTTTTCTGGAAAGCCGATTCTTAAAATTATGATTTTGAGCCGGGAAAATTAGGTTGACAGAAAAAGCGGCAATTTTAGAAAATTTTGGAGAACTCAACTCCAAAATCTTGATCTTAGTCTAATGTGGCAGGTCGGAGAATAAGTCCCGCCCCTTTTTTTCAATGACGTCTGAAGTCTGGATTCTGTGAAAAATGAGGTAATTAGTACCCAGAAAAATTTACGAGTGGAAAGGATCATAAGGGTTCTTTGGAAAAATTAGAAATTCCAATTTTAAAATTTCCAAAGTTTGGAACTTCTACCAAAATTGGAAAAAAAACCTCTGAGAAATCCTTTTTTCCAGATACCAATCTCCTCAAAGTGCTTCCAAAAAACCCAAAAACCCTTTTTTGGAATTTCTTTGAAGACAAATAAATTACGAAAAAGTTCAGGCTTCCCCTCCAAAAATAGGCTCCGCCCCTCACCCTGTTTTTTTCATTCTGTTGTTCTTTTTACTCTCATTTTCCAAAATAAGTTAGTTGGCGACGTCGACAAAAAATTGACGTCTTCGGTTTTCTTTCTTCTGCTCCAGTTGAAAAAAAAAACATTCGTTTAAGGACTGAAAATGAAGGAGGGAGAGAGAGAGAGAGAGAGAGAGAG